GCGGTAGGCGGGCGGGAAGCGCGCCAGCCGGCCTCGTGCGCGCCCTCAAAGAGGCGCCGGTCCACCTGCCGAGAGATGGCGCGAGGCGAGGTGAGAGCCGAGACTCCCCGTGACTGCCGCAAGCCCGCCTCCGCCGCCAGCAAGCCCTCCCGGGAGCGACCCGGCGTGCAATCTCGGGGAATCTCGCGGCTCTCTCACCTCCGCCGCCAGCAAGCCCTCCCGGGAGCGACCCGGCGTGCAATCTCGGGGAATCTCGCGGCTCTCTCACCTCCGCCGCCAGCAGCCCTCCCGGGAGCGACTCGGCGTGCAATCTCGGGGAATCTCGCGGCTCTCTCACCTCCGCCGCCAGCAAGCCCTCCCGGGAGCGACCCGGCGTGCAATCTCGGGGAATCTCGCGGCTCTCTCACCTCCGCCGCCAGCAAGCCCTCCCGGGAGCGACCCGGCGTGCAATCTCGGGGAATCTCGCGGCTCTCTCACCTCCGCCGCCAGCAGCCCTCCCGGGAGCGACCCGGCGTGCAATCTCGGGGAATCTCGCGGCTCTCTCACCTCCGCCGCCAGCAGCCCTCCCGGGAGCGACTCGGCGTGCTCGTGGATGGCGAGGCCAGCCGGCGGCGCGGGAGGAGGCGCGGGCTCGAACGGAGGCAGCAGCGACTCGAGCGCGGCGCGGGACGGCGCCTAGAGGGACGCTCCAAGAAGGCTCAGGGAAGGTTCGCGGCGGCGACTCGAGCGCTGCGCGCGGGACGGCGCCGCAGCCGCGTCGTGCTCGGCGCGCAGCGAGTCGTCGCACAACCGCCAGAGCGACTTTTGCAGCGATCGCTCGGCGGCGCCGCGCGCGTCAAGCGATGCGGCGAGCGCCTCCACCGCCGCCAAGCCGACGCAGCGGCGCCACCCGGCCGCCCCGCCGCCCCGCTGCCCTCCGCGCGGCGACGGCTCAACCCACACGCTCAGCGGCGCCCGCGGGCCGATGGCCCAGTAGGACGCGCCGGCGCGGTCGCGTCCGAGGCTGAGGGAGCGAGCGCGGCCGCCGGACAGCTGCTCGTGCGCGGCGGCGCGCTCGGCGGCCGCCTGCTCCTCCGCCAGCGCGGCGCCGAGGCACGCATACGCCTCCAGCATGCCCCGGGTGAGCCAGCGGCCGGTCGCCGCGCCGAGCGAGCCAAGCCCGTCCGCGGACGCGTCCCCCTCGAGCCCGGCGGAGCGGCCTGTGGACACGTCTCGGACATGTCGTGGACGTGTGCCTCACATCTCCGCCTCCTCGGCCAGCCGCTTGCCTATGGGGACACGTCTCGGACATGTCGTGGACGCGTCACACACACGCCTCTCGTGTCGGCGGCGCGGCCGGCGGCGAGCGCGGCGCAGAGCTCGGAGGCCGTGGAGGTGGGCTCGGACGCGCGCCGCAGCGCCGCCTCCGCCTCAGCCCTCGCCGCGCGCTGCTCGTCGCGCCGCTTGCTCAGCGCGGCGCGCCGCGCGCCCGCCTGCGCGACGGCGCGCGGAGGCCTAGTGGAGCCGTGATGGATTCGGCAGGAGGCGGTCCTCGTACACACACACACACACACAGAGAGAGAGAGAGACAAGGGGGGGGGGGGGAATAGGGGTATAGGGAAAGGGGGGGGGGGGTTGAA